GGGGGGGGGGGGGGGGGGGGGGGGGGGGGGGGGGGGAGCAGGACAGGTGGGGCAGCTGGATGTGGGCCATGTGGGGAGGCCACTCACGGAGAGTGAGAGGTCGGCCGGCCGGATCCGGCGTGGTTGGGGATAGGCGGGAATGTGCCTGTGACAAACGAGGCACCGGCTGTACCTGGGAGAAGTGGTCGCGGCACACTTTGGGGGTTCTGGGTCCTGCGCCATCTTGCTCAGGATGCTGTGGATCTGGGAGAACCTGGGTCGCTCGCCTGGGTCCTTCTGCCAGCAGTCAAGCATCAGTCGATGGAGGGGGGAGGGGCAGTTCCTGGGGGGTGGCAGCCGGAAGCCATCCTCCACTGCCTTGATCACCTGGGCCACGGAGGTGAGGGGCAGACAGGAAGCTTTAAGTCCCTCCAACGCATGCGCACGTCCCATCCCAAGGAAGACTCAGGCAGTGGCCAGGCAAGACCGGAAGCAAGCAGACAGTGAAGTGGGGTCTCAGGCTAGGAGGTCAAGGGTCACTGGGCAGGGGTCAGGAAGTTGGGGCCTGAGGTCACTCACGTCTTGGCCAGACATGTCCCAGTAGGGCCGCTCCCCAAAGGCCATCACCTCCCACATGACGACACCAAAGCTCCACACATCACTGGCAGAGCTGAAGTGTCCAAACTGAAGCGTCTCAGGGGCGGCCCACAGTGCTGGGCTCCGGCCACTCTGTGGACGGACAAGCACGTCAGGGGCAGGAAGGGACCGGCCCAAGTACACCCGGGGCTCCCCGCCCCACACAGCCCCAGATCCAGCCCCGCCTGCCATCCTCTCAGCTGCACGTCTGGGGAAGGCACATAAGCTGACCAGAAAATGAGGCCCACGCTGGCCTTTACTCAGGACCAACTGGGGGCAGGGACGGGATTGCAGGCAGCGGCCCTGACACAGCCAGGAAGAGGGGAGAAGTGGGTGAGGGGGACTCTGGTGCAGTCTGATGGGCAGGTCTGTCTGGAAGACGGGAATCCTCACCATGGTGGTGTAGACAGCCTCCGCTCGGTCCCGGGGCCCCCGTCCAAAGCCAGAGATCTTGCAGATAAGGCCACTGCTGACCAGCACACGGCGGGCCGCCAGGCCCCGGTGAACGTAGCCCATTTCCGACAGGTACTTCATGGCTGACGCCAGCCCGGGCAGCAGCCCCATCAGCTGCCCGGCCACCAGCTGGCCTTCATGCCGCTGTGGGAGGAAGTGCTACACACTCAGTTCCCTGGTGCTGTGTGACCTCAGGGAAGTCACCTGGCCCTCTCTGGGTTTGCCCTGTGACCCACCAGGCCAGCCTGGCCAGTGGGCACCTTTTTAGGGAATGATGCCAAGTGCAAGTCCCACCAAAGAGAAAAGTGAGGGACGAAGAATAACGTGGCTATCAGTACCCTCCCCCACCCCAGCGACCCAGGCCACTCACCCTCAGGAAGCCGTCGAGGGCCCCATGGCTCATGTACTCGGTGACGATCATCAAGGTGCTTCCTGTGCCCAGGGAAGGGGAACACACCCACTGAGCTGCCTGCTCCCCTCTGCCTGCACACGTGCTCCCCCACCTGGGCCCCAGCCCGGGGCCAAGACAGTCAGAAACAAGTTTCCCCAGTCGTGCCACCCTCCTGCGGGGCCCAGGATCCTCTATGCCAAAGAACAGAAGAGGAGACCTCCGTAGGAGGACCACGGTCAGGAGCTGCAATAAGTTTGCTAAGAAAGATCACCCAAGGTCCAGGCGATCCACCCCACAGAGTCACTGCAGGTCAGAAAGGCCTTTCAGGGTCGGAAGGGCCCCCGAGTCAGTGAAAGCAAGCTGAGGCCTTCTCTCCATCCTGGGCGGCCTAGGAAGGGCCTAAGCCTTCCATGGCTGAAGGAAGGGCACCCCACCTCCACCCCGTGTCCACCCCCATACTTGCGGAGCACAGGACCTTACCTCGGGTGACGACACCCTCCAGCCGCACGACGTGGCCATGGTCGAACTGGCCCAGGGTGAGGGCCTCGGCCAGGAAGCTGAGCCTCTGAGAGTCGGAGCAGCCGTCCCTCAGCGTGTGCACGGCCACGGGGAGCTCCTGGCGGCCAGGGAGCTGCAGACAGCCGAAGGACAGCTCCCCGAACCGCCCTGTGAGGAAACAGCACCTCAGACAGTCCCCCGGAGGTCACCGGCCCCCCGGCCAACCCAGGCAGGGTGAGCTGAGGCGAGAGCAACTTTTGGATCACAGGCTCTTCTTGACCTGGGACTCAGAGCTCCCGAGTTCAAATCATGTAAACCGAGTACCAGCAATGTGACGTGGGCTTCCTCTCTTTCCTCTCTGGGCCTCGATTTTCTTCCCTGTGAAATGGGGGTTCCTCCCGGCCCGCCTCAGCATGAGATTTCAAAGACTCACAGAGAGGATACTGCACATGCAAGCGTATCAAAGGCTATTAAAGCCCAGGGTGACCCAGGAAGGGTGACGATGACATCTCCTCTGCCACACTACCCCCTTTCTGGCTTCTATCCAGTGGGTCTGGCAACAGTGTCAGGGACAGTGTCTGGCTCCTGGTAAAGTGGCTGCCTTCTCTGAGCCCAGGGGCTGAGGGTTTGCAGATGGGAAGGAAGGAGGCCAGGAGGCTGAAGAGCAGAGGGCAAAACACCTGCTATGAGCCAGGCCGGGGTGCTGAGGGCTGCAGAGTCCCCACCTCGGCTCTGCATGAGGCAGCTATTGCACCCATTTTACAGACAAGAAACAGGTTTGGAGCAGAAAGGGCACGCACCCCTGGTCACACAACTGGGCAGAGGTAGAGCCAGGGCAAAAACTGAGGTTTGGTTGTCTGGTCCCAAGTTTGCAAAGGCCCCTCCCCACTGCCCCATGAAGGCCCGGGACTAAACCTCTGCCAGTGGCAGTCTGCAGAGGCCGGCTGGAAAAGGGCAAGAGCGGGGAGGTCTCAGTGACCTTGGGGACAGGGAGGGTAGGAAGGCAGGGTCACGGACTCCTCTGCCATCCCCTTCCCTGGAACCTGGTGGGCGGAGGTCCCGTTTGGTGTGGAGCTGGGGCCTCCTGGCCAGGTGGGGACTGGGGTGAAGGCAGGGCTTCCGGAAATGGGGGAGGGCCTCGGGGCAGAGGCGGGCTTGCAGGATGGAGGTGGGATGGAGTGGAAGGGGGCGGTTCTTGGGCTGTACAAGGGTCCCTGGAAGCCCAGCTTGCCTGCTCCAAGGCTTCTCTCCAGTGTGACAGTTTTTGCATCCAGCTCCTTGGCAAACAGATGAACAGCCTGCAGCGGGTCCCCACAGCTCTGGGGGTCTAAGAACGTGCGGCGTGTCGGGACTTTGACTGCAATGCAGAGAGAGACAGAGATGGGCCCGAGGAAGGGGGCCCGTGGCCGGGAGGGGGGG